CCCTTTGGGCCAGCGAGGCCACCCGGTGCCCGTCAGTCAGCTCTGGGCTCTGTCATGCATGGGGGAGTCGCCCTGGAGCACGCGCTTGCCCAGCACCCAGGCTCGAGGAAAGACTTCGCTCTTTGCTTCTCGGCATTAGGATGAGCTGGTTCCTGAGCGTTTCCCACAAGTAACCAAGGACAGTTTTCGGTTTTGTTTTGCTTACGGTACTGGGGTTTAACCTTAAGGCCTTCTTGCTGAGCTATGTCCCCAGCCGTTTTTCGTTCTGACACAGGGTTTCACTAAGTAGCTAAATCGCCCAGGCTGGGCTCCTACTTGCAACCCTCCCACCTCAGCCTTCCAGAGTGCTGGGAATACAGACATGGCGGCTTTGTTATTTTAAGCAGCACATTTTAGGATCTGTAGTACAAATCAAAACTAGGGGGCTGGGGATTTAGCTTGGGGCTGGGGATTTAGCTCAGCGGCACTGCGCCTGCCCGGCAAGCGCAAGGTTGTAAGTTCGATTCACAGTACTGGAAAAAAAAACAGGAAAAAAAAAAAAAAAGAAAAAGAAAAACCAAACCAAAACTAGGTCCCAGTCCAAAGTAACAAAGCTAACAACTGTCACACTCGGCCCCAGCAGGGCCCTCTAAGACCCCTGGCCTGGTTTTGACCTGTACACTTTAAAACGTGCTACTCAAAGTAACAACATTGAAGCACTGTGCCTATAATCACACTCTGGGAGGCTGAGACAGGAGGATTCTGCTCATTCTGATAAGGGCCCAGGGCAAGGAAGGCCCAGGTGAGGACTGCCAGGTCGCTGTCGCTGTCACGGCACTGAGAGAGGAGCTCACATGCACGGGGAAGCACCCAGGCGTTTCCACACGGCCCCGCTGCCTTCCCAGGGACCCGGTCTCCACACGCACACAGCCCCCTGGGGATGCCGCTCAGGGTGCAGCCACATCCCCGGCGCTGGGAGCCGCCTGGTCCAAGAAGCACAAAGGTGCCGCAGGGACCAGCCGCGGCCACCGCCTCTCGGATCAGAGACTCAGCAGGGAGGACACACAGGAGCCGTGTGACCACACGCTCTGGACGCTTGGGGAAGCAGCGTGGGGTGTGAGCTCTGCTTCCTCAGTGGCAGTACAGTCAGGTAACCTAAACGCCAGACCAAAAGCCGGGCACTACAGAGCAGCCCGTGATCCCAGCACTGGAGGCTGAGGCAGGAGGACTGCTACAAGCTGCAGGCCAGTCTAGGCTGCACAGAGAGTTCAAGGCCAGCCTGGACTGCGGCATAGATGGATGCCGGGCCAATCAGTGCCTTCCTGCCACAGACCCTGCCGCTCTACCCTAACACTGCTCCGATTCAGACCCGAAAAATGATGAGGAAAAGAAGCAGCTGACCTCCCCGCAGTAGCCGGGCCACCCCCACGTCACGGGGCCACGCCTCCCAAAGCCCCCACGTTAAACTCGGGACGGCCGGAGAATCCAGGCCACCACGGGAAGGATTTTCATGCCCACTGCGACTTCCGGCCGCAGGCTTGGAGGGCACCGTTCAGCCGCGCGCTGGGTCCCAGGTTGTCTGACAGAAGCCAAAGGGTAGAGAACTGAAGAGCAAAACACAAGAGGAGGCGGAGCCGGGAGACGGGTTCCGGGGGAGCAGGAGGGAGAGGAGGGAAGGAGAAAGAAAGAAGCTGCACTCCTTGCCCAGGCCTCACCAGGCCCGCGATTGATGTGGGCGGCGGATGTGGACTAAGAAGTAAAAATGCTGCCCGGCGTGGTGACGCAGCCTGTAACCCCAGCACTCGGGAGGCTGAGGCAGGAGCATCGCTGTGGGTTCAAGGCCAGCCTGAGCTACATAGTGAGACCCTGCCTCAAAAAATAAATAATAAATAAATAAATAAGGTTGAAAAGTAAGCTAATAAGAACTAGAACGTCCTGACACATGCTCACGTCCGCACGTATTTACTACCAAGCATAAAATAAACGAAATGACGCAATGACTTCTTAAGAAGCACTGCTCCGGGTCCCCGGGGACTGCAGGTCACTGGGCAAGTGGCTGTGTGTCCAGAGCAGCCCTCAGAGCCCAGAGAGGGTTTGGGCAGGTGTGGGCCGGAGCTCAGGGCTGCCGGCCTCTGGCTTGGGTAAGGAGTCCCAGGCCCAGAGCCAGGGTGCGGGGTGGGAAGGCGAGGCCGCAGGTGCGCCGGCCCACGTCCAGGCGGTGTAATCATTAGCCCGGCCGCGTAAGCGGACACCGCTGCGAGCTGTCCCCCAGGTTCCAGCCCAATTCCCACCACCTGCGCCGGGGGCGGGGGGACCCAGCGATCCCAGTGGGGAGCAGCCAGCACAGCCGGCAGAGCAGGCGCTCGCTTCCTCAGAGCCGGGCTTTCCCAGCTCCGGCGACCTCGGGGCCTGGGACCTACAGGACCCCCCTGCCGGGGTTGGAGTGGGTGCCGGGAACCCTCCCCTCCCCCGGCCGCCTTTCCCAGAAATCCCGGCACCCGCCCCCCTGCTGGAAGCAGCCACAGGCTGCTGTTGTTTTAGGTGTGGGAGGAGCCGGCGAAATCAAAGCCAAGTCGGGATCAAAGTGTCCCCTGTGGTCGGCGGCCTGGAGGGCAGCCAGGACAGCCCGCGAGGACAGCCCGCGAGGCCCAGCCGCGGGTGGGCTGCCTGGCCTGTGCCATCGGGCAACATCTGCACATGAAGCTGGTGGGCAAAGGTTGCCCTTTTGGAGGGCGGTGGGAACCCGCCACTCCTCCCTCACCATGACACCCTGAGGAGGGGACAGAGGGGTTACCCATGCCCCGGGCTCACGTGACCACCTGCCAGCCTTTCCCAGGGGAAGACCCACCCCTCCCCTCAAAGTGCCCAGTCCCTGGTTCCCCACCTGGGGACACAGCACTACTGCTCCCTGCCTCCCCGACACAGGCCTCCTGGACCTCTCTCGGTGTCCCCCACCATGGGTTCCCCCCCTCCCGTTTGAACTCTGGGCCACATCCCCAACCCTTTATTTTTTATTTTGACACAAGGTCTCACTAAGTTACTAAATTGCCCAGGCTGACTGGACCTTGTGATCCTCCTGCCTCAGCCTCCTAGAGCAGTGGATCACAGGTGTGCACCACCATGCCCTCTTTGTACAAGCCACAGGCCCCTCCCAACCCCAGCATCCTCCACTCCAGTTATTCCAATCAAGGTCACACGGAGGCTGCAGGTGGACACGGACCTTAGGGACACTGCCCCACCCCACCCACACAGCTGCGCCCTGGGGCCCAACAGAAGTGGCAGAAGTGTGGCTGCTTGCTTCCAAGACTAACATTCTTCTCACTGAGCAAAGCCAGCAAGGTGTCTACACCCGCCCCACCTGCGAGAGCTGCTTCCAGCCCCTCTCCGAGGGCTGATGGCGCTCGCACTAGGGGTGAAGGACCGTGACCAGGGACTCCGGGCAAGGACTGGGCGGGAGCTCTGCGAAGGATGGCCAGCCTCACCCCTTCTGAGGCCCGGCCTCCACAGCTTGCCGGGCACCCCCTCCTCCTCCTCAGAGTGCCTCACAGGCCGGGGTTAGCATGTGCTCGGGCACCTGCAGCACCTCGCTGGGGCAGCTGAGTATCAAGGCGAGATCTGTTTTGTATTTTGTTTGAATTTTTGAGACAGGGCCTCACTGTGCAATTCAGGTTGGCCTTGAACTCACTTTGTAGCCCAGGCTGGCCTTGAACTCACAGTGATCCACCTACCTCTGGCTCCCGAGTGCTGGGATTACAGGCCTGCGCCACAATGCCCACCTGTTTTGTTTTTAGTTCTGGTTCTCCTTTGGCTTTTGCAAAAGCCACAAGGTAGAGTTTGGCTCTCTTGGTCAAAGGGAGGCCCGGATCCCGACACAAGGCCCGGGTCTGAGCCCCTCTCTGCTTCTCGGGGATCTGCTGGCCCGGCCCAAAGCACATGTGAAGCCTGAGACACAGAACCGGACCAACGTGTGCACGCAAGCCTGTGTGATACAGGGCCCGGCGAGCGTGTGCAGGAACACGTGCGTGCCCAGGGCATGGGAAGCAGGTTCGTGCACACGCTTGCACGTGTGTACAAGACCTGGCAAGCATGTGAGTGTGCACACGTGTGTGTAACTGCACAGCTATGAGCTTCTAGGAGCTTCCCGTGGCTCTCCGGCTGGCCCCCGCTCCTTGTTTGTGAACTTTACGGGCAGCAGGAAATCACCCCTGCCAATCAAACGCCGGGCCTCCGGGCTGTGAGGATCTAGAGACGGCTCTGGACCATGCCGCCCTGGAGCTCAGCCCCGGCCTGGCCGCCAGGCCCCAGTGACCCAGGGCTCAGCGCCTCCGCACAAAGCCCCGACCTGATCCCTGGCAGTGGGAAGCTGGGGTGTCCCGCCGGAATCTGCAGCTGCTTCGCGCTCAATAAAGCAGGCGGGTGGGGCCCATTCCCTCCCCACCTGAAACCTGCTTGCAGTGGTGCTCACTCTGACACAGCTCCTGCCTCTGAGAAGGCCAGGTGCTGGCGGACGGGCGGGAGGGGCTGCTTCTCACAGGCCCCCTTGTCCTCAGACGCGCTGCACGCCGGACACCTCCCCTCTGTGTCCTGAGAGCTCAAGCAAAGCCTGCTGAGCAAGGTGCCAACGTGCACACATCACAAACACACACACCACACTCACACACCACGCATGCACACACAGCACAACATGGAGACGCACACAAGCCCCGTGCATGCACACACCATGACACAAACACATGCACACCATGCATGCGTGCACCCACACAACACGGATGCACGTGCGCACCACGCGTGTACACACATCGGGCATGCACATGTAACAGCACAGAAATGCACATACAGTCCGTGCATGCACACACACCGCCCACGCACACACAAGTACAGGCCTGCAGCTGCCAGAACGCAGCGTGTGAGCCCGGGCCTCAGACAGTGTAACCTGACTCCAGAGGTCACCTTTTGACAGACACAGCTGCTGGCTGCGCCTCAATTACACAAAGAAAAGGAAAGCACTCCAACTGTTCTCCCACAGCTTCCCCGAGGGCGGAGAACCCAGCACAAGCACTCCATGCACGTGGGCTCGGACAGGGACCCGCACTGACCCCGCTGCCTGTGCGCGGTCCCCACCGCTCCCCACAGGCGCCACCGGGAGGCACAGACGCTTCGAGGACTCCGCCGCACCGTCACCAGCGCTGGCTGTGCCAGGCCCCCAGCTGCCCAGGAGCACTGACGGGCCTGGGCCAAGGGCAGGGACCCGAGGTCCCCTGCAGAGCCGCACGTATGCCCAGGACTCGCCCACCCACCTGGGACCAGTGCCCCACGGCGCACTAAGGTGAGGACGGGAAAGCAGCGAGCCGGGCCGCGGTTAGACGGGCAGGGCACTGCGAGTCGGCGGCCGCCAAGGACGAGCACGCGCAGCCCTGTGCGCACCACGCCTCCCTCCCCGCCTCCTGTCCTGTCTCCAAACGGAACACAGGACCCAGGTACTGAGAGCACCCATCCCCACACCCTCGCCCCCCGGAAGGGAAGGAGGGAGGACAAGGCCCACAGCCCTGAGACCAGACGGGGTCCCCATCCCCCAATGGGGAGAACCACACACACACACACACGCACACACACACACACACACACGCACGCACACATGAGCCGAAGCGCAGCCCGCGCTCACAGGGCCTTGCCCCCTGCATCGCGGATTCTGCAGGCCTCAAACCTGCACCAGCGCAGAGAATCCAAACCCGTCACTTTACTCCATCCTCACAGGCCTCACCACAGATGTGTACACGTGTGTAGATCCACAATCGAGCCGGCCCCTAACCAGGCCTCAGTCCTCCGTGCCAGCGCTGTGGGTTACAGGACAGCGAGCGGCACTCAGGCAGATGGCAAGCCATCCCGTCTCCTGCCGACCAAGGCCTGGTCACAGACAGCGAAGGCCCTGAGGAGGCGACACGGGGACACCCTGCTCCAAAACAATCATCCTGCTGCCCTTGTGAAGGGCCAGGACCATGGGACTCTCGGACGTGGCTCAGGACAGGGCCCCAGCACGTGCTTCCCCCATTATGTCCCGCATTTCTCTGCAGTTTTCTGCCGTTTTTAGCCTCTGGCTTCTGGTCCCACCAGTGGCAGACATCTGCAGTCCCGTGTTGCTTAAACACAGGTCGCACTCCTGTAAGCTACAGCGGGGAATGGAAGAAGGTTCTGCTGCAGAAAAGAAATAGAAAAGCAGGCATCCCAGGTAAGAACCACAGGGTCAGCCGGGCAGGGAGGCTCATACCTGTGAGCCCAGCACTCTGGGACACTGAGGCAGGAGGATCCCAAGATCAAGCCTACCTTGGGCAACTGAGTGACTTAGCGAGACCCTGCCTCGAAGTAAGAAATGAGCTAGGGATGCAGCTCAGCGCGAAGGTCCTACATTCAACCCCTGAAAAAGCAAAAACCAGCAACTGGACGGATGCGGAAGGCCAGGGCTTCTGCCCACCCCTGGGGAAGCAGGGCTGCTATGCCCCTGCTGACAAGCGAGCCAAGCGGGTGGAATGTCGTCACGTGACCGACACCCCATGGTCAGCTGTCATTAATGCCAGCAGCACGGCCATCGCCACCTCCTGTCTGCACACCAAGCTGAAGGAGGCAAAGCAGGTTCCAGCCCAGCCTGCACTGCAACATGATGCCAGCCGACGGGCGCCCGGGCTGACGCTGGGGCACAAAGCCACGCTGGGCGTGGAGGCCACTGAGGAGCCTCGCCCCGCAGGGAGCAACGGGAGGCCTCCGAGCCGACCGCCGGCCACAGCACCAGGAGCACCCAAAATTGGAGTGGGCCTCCTGTGGCTCCCAGGCCCCCCGAGAGCAGGTGAGTCGCCAGGACTCTCCACAGTACCAGTGCAGAGACCCCAGAGAGACCCCAGAGAGACCCCAGGGGGCCGTGTGGCAGCGCGGAGGTCAGCGGGGGGTGACAGGCACGGAGCACTGCACACCCAGAACCAGGAGCTCCACCTGCCCCACACACACACACCACGAGCAACAGGGCCGGGGGACCACAGTCCCTCCCCACCACGCCATCCAAGAGCCACGGCGGCCCACAGCACGGCGGCCCTAAGAAAGCCCTGGCTCCTCAGTGTTACCGCCAGAAGCCGGGGTTTCTCTGCCAGCTCGCCTCATCCTCGGCTCACCTCGTCTTCCCAGCGAGCGCAGTCCCACAGAGTGCGGCAAGAGCTCAGCCCGGGGCCAGCGACGGCCGCTCAGGGTCCCCGTGACCTCGACCTTGGGGAGCCGCCTCACGTGCCTGAGCCCTGAGATGACCTCAGCGTCTGACACCGAGCAAGCGCAGACCATGAGCGGATCAAAGGAAACGCAGCTGCTTTCAAGCGGCCGGGCTCTGACCACGCCAGCCCACGCGCCCCAAGGTGACACGCGCGGGCCCAAAGCACACTGCGCCAATCTCAAATGCTGGTGCCCCCGGCTGGGGCACTCCTGGGCTCTGCAGGGCCAGCAGAGAGAAGAGGACGCCGCTCTTTCTGGCCTGAGAAGTGACTCCACACAGGTGCAGCGCTTCTCACAGACGGGGAGTTGTCCACACCACAAACCCAGCACAGGGGCCGGAGGGCACTCACACACCTGCGCGCACTGCACAGTGTGTCTGGAGGCCTGGGAGTGGCTTAGGCTGCTGGTCTGGGCCACACGTGCGGGAAAGGGTCGCAGGAGACAGGTCACAGGTCAAGGGTCAAGGGCCACAGGGAGCTCGGGAGGACTTGTGCACAGGCGTCTCGGGGAAATACCCATGACACACCTGTCACTGTCACAGGTGACCTGACTCCCCCCAGGCCACAGCAGCCCCCTAAGATCTCAGGGGAGCCAAGAAGGCCCTGGCACACGGCAGTGAAGTTCCTGTCCAGCAGTCAGGGCGGCATGCATGTGCTCGGGTGACCCTGCATCAGCCTGGAACAGTGTTTTTCTTCCTTTGTACTAACCAAAAATAAAAGTGACATTTTTAAAAATGGAAAACAGCCAGGTGTGGTAGCACACATGTATAATCTCAGCACTCAGGAGGCTGAGGCAGGAGGATCTTTGCATTTGCAAGTTTGAGGCCAGCCTGGGCTACAAAGCAAGCTCAAGGCCAGCCTGAACTATATAGCAAGACCTTGTCTCAAAAAGATTAAAAAAAAAAAGAAAAGAAAAACAGACTGTATCATACGTATAGGGCGTGGCGGGCTGCACCACCCAGCTTTGGGTCTGCGTGTTCTGTGACATTAGCCAGACAACCTCGGCTAACAACGCATTTGTCAGATACTGCGCTGACCCTCACGTGACACTGAGCATGTACACACACTCACAGACACTCTGATATGCACGTGACCATTACGCAGGATACACACACACATTCAAATACACACAGCAACAGCATGATACACACACTGACGTACATGACAACCACATGCACGTGTACACGTATAACAATTACAGGAAGACACAGATTCAAATGCATAACAACTGCATATGCACTATACACTTATACCTTCATATACATAGTAATCACATGTGTAATATACACACATACATGTAATGAGTACATATACACACATTCACTCATAATCATACACATCAGATACACCTTTACCTACAATTATACGCAGAACATGCACATCTATACATTCACATGATTACACCCTTAATATGCTTTATCTGTGTTTGTATATATACATACACAGATAACATATTCGTGTACATATAACAAGTACACACATGATACACACTGGCACATACACACACCAAGTACATAAAGCATACACACATAAACAGTGACATGCACAATGCCGGGTCTACATGTCATTATTTGGATCCGGATGTCCCCATCCGCTCAGGCGCCCAAGGCTGGGTCCCCGCTGCCGTGGTATCCAGGGGTGGGACCTCTGGGAGGTGCCTGGACTCCGAGGGCTCTGACCTCACTGGAGGTCCACCTATTGCCGGGGTGATGGGCTCATACCTGCCGCATTATTGGGAGAGGTGGAAAAGTGGAGGAAACCGTGGGGGGGGGCCTAGGACCGGAAGTGGGTCGCTGGGGGCGGGGCCTAAGACAGAGAAGCGAGGCAGTGACTCCAGCAGAACACGCGCCTGGCGCTCCGTGACAGCAAGCGGCCTCATTCAGAGGGACACAACCACGGCACCCCGCCCGGGGGCGGACGCCTGTGACACGCGGGGCCCCGCCGCCCTTCCCTTCCAGCCACCAGCCGGGGAAGGAAGGAAACGGAGGCTCAGCTGAGGGAAAGGGTCTGAACCCAGCTCTGTCGTGGCGGTGACGCTCCGCATGCCCCGGGCCAGCCCCACAGAGGAGGTACTGCTCCCCGAGAGGAGCCAGCCTCAGGCCCGCAGGCCTCGGCTAGGCCGAGACACGGGGAGGGACAAGATGAGCCCCCAGAGACCCTCAGGCAGTGCGTGCGGCTGGGGCCGTACGAGCCACACGCCTGGCACGTCCCGGGGACCTCACAGCCACACCCTCCCTCCCGCCAGGTCACTTCTGATGGGTCCTGGTACACAAAGCCCGCAGGAATCCCGAGAGATAACAGTCACCAAGACTGAACCCCTTCATCTCCACCGGGCAGAGCCAAAAACCAGGGGGACCATGACCATGACATTCAAAGGAGTATCACTTAAACGGTAAACAGAAGCCGGGCATGGCAGTGCTGCCTGTCATACTAGCGCTGGGAGGCTGAGGCAGGAAGATTGGTGTGAGTCTGAAGCCAGCCTGGGCTACACAGTGAGTTCAAGGTCAGAACTCCTGGACCACTCGCTATATGGACCACAGAGTGAGACGCCGTCTCAAAACACCAAAAGGAATATTAATAAAAAATGAAATAGGGGCCAGGGATATAGCTCAGTGGCACAAGTGCCTGCCTGGCAAGCGCAAGGTCCTGAGTTCGATTCCCATTGCCAAAAAAAAATTAAATAAAACTCAGATAGAAATTTGTATTTGCCCCATAACAAACCAAACAGAAAGTGCTACCATAACAGAAAGTGCTACCATCTGCTATCCTCCATCTGATACAAAGAGGCATTCGTCAGAGCCGAACAGTCACAAATCTGCACAGCTTGCTCCACAAGCGTTATCCCGGCACTGTCCACGCTTCCATCACTGGGACAGTCGAGGCCACCAAGCCCTTGAGGTCACTTCTCCTGACCCTAAAGGCAGATCCGACAGAGGGAGGCACAGATTCTCTCCTCTTACAGAAAACGGACGGACCAGCAGGGAGGACGATGGTGACTAAAGGGCTCAGCACCACAAAACCCAAGAGGACTTCAGAACACGGTGCTAGCAGACCCTGCGGTCTCCGATAAACGCAAAGACTCACCTGTTCCTGGGGGGCTTGCACGCCGCAGGGGGTCACCACCTTCGAAGGAGAAGAGACAGGTAAGGAAGGGCTCTCAGCAGAAACAGCCTCCCAGGCAAGGAGGCCCCCAGAGCTCAGACCGCCCCCCACCACAGCCCCACCCGCAGCACCTTGACACGGGCGAGCCCTGGAGTTAACACAGTCCCTTTCTGTGAACTTCTGCAAAGTCCAGTCTGGTTTTAGGATTTATGAAAACCATGGAGCCTTGTCCCAAAATGCACGTCATTCACAGAGACAAAACTCTACCTCAGCTTCAAAGAACGGTGGGCTAAGTCTCCCAAGCCCTTCCTCGCTGGGGAGGACAGGGAGTTGGACCCAGAGGAGGTGGGGGGCTCTGTAGCGGTTTCCAAGCCACCCCAACTTCTCATTCCCACACCCAGCGGGCGTGGTTTGAATGGACTGTCCTTTCCAGAACTATTTCTGCAAGTGGAACTGAAAACAATCTAAATGTGCTATTGCACTCAGCACATGAGACTGGGGAACGGAGTTCCCTTTATATCACAGTCCTCTGAAGAACACAGAATGCATCAGAAAGACACGCAGCTGGCTGTGGTACCACACACCTGTAACACCAGGACCTAAGCCAGACAGGTAAAGGTATCAGAACGACTGACCCAACGGCGATAAGCGGCCCACCTTTACTGTTCAGTCTGGGTCAGGCCTCTGTCCCCACTTACCAGCTATGGAACCTTGGCCGTTAATCTCTCTGGCCTCAGTTTCCTCATCTGAAAACTAGAGGTGGTTGCAATGCCGCGCTCACAAGCTGGTTGGGAGGTCTAGGAGGTAGTGTCTGAGCTCCGAAGAGTGCTGGCACAGAGCAGGGTCTGCTCACAGCAACATGGAGCTCTCCCTGAGTGGAAGGGGTCGTGTGTGGCTAAGGGATCACATTTGCTTTGTGCTTCTCCTACAAACAGGATTTCAATCCCCGTGAGCCCTCACTCCTCCACTTCTTCCTGGCTCTCCCACCTCTAGACCCCTGGCTCACTTCCAACCTCAGAGAGCTTTCTGAGCATGGGAAAGGAAAGAGAAACCCAGGATCTGACTAACTGTCCTTATAGGCTGGAGTGGGTGTTGCTGTGACCTTGGGTCTTGCTATGGCAACTATTTATAGTTCTTGCTTATCTTACTCCGTGAGGTTCCTCAAAGAGTACGAGACACATGGCTATTCATTTGTCTGGGACATGTCATTACTCCACCCCAGTTCTGAGTCACACTCTTGTCGGGCACAGGGGTCCTCGCGCAGGGCACCCGTCCTGCCCTCTGAATGGCTGTCCCCTCTGCACGCACAGCACCCGGCACACAGGAACACGTCTTTTTCATTTGCGGGTCCTCGATGCCATGCTAAAAGTTCAGCGAACGGGTGTGAGAGGAGACACACAAATATAACGTGAAAACTAACAGATGGCCTTGGAAATACAGGAAGTTACAGATTCCCCTAAGATGGCAGTGGCCTCGAACAAGAAGACCCCAAGGTTAACAGCATTGTGACGGGCATCACCCCAGGGACCGTGTGCCCAGGTGCCTCTGTGTGACTCACACGCAAGAAGTGTGCAAAGAACAGAGTCCCTGTCTTGAAAGCGTTATCTGTGCCCCACACGGCACGGTGTTATTCCGGGATAAAAAGGAATGAGGCATGAAGGCACGAGAAGGCACAGAGGAGCCGGATATTCCCGAGTGAGGGAGGCCACCGAGAGGCTGCAGGCCGGACGTGTCCACCCGCACGGTGTTCTGGGGAGGCAACTGGAAACTCAGCTGAAGTCAGTGGTTAGCGGGCACTGAGGGAGGAGGGAATATGTGGGCACAGATGGCTTTAGGGCAGTGAAACCATCTCACGTGATGCAACAGCGTCCGCCAAATGTGGTCAACATCTGTCCAAACTGGTGGTGTGAACAACACCAGAGGGAGCCCCAAAATCAGCTCTGGGCTTTGGTTAATAAACACATTGTATTACGGTGATCTATGCACACCCACGTTTACAGCAGCACAAGTGAGAATCGCTAAATCTTAGAAGCTGCTGTGTCCATCAGCCGGTGAATGGATAAAAGAAGTGTGGTGTCTACACACAGCGCAGTACTATTCTGCCATGAGCAGGATGAACTTGAGTCACCTGTGGGAAAATGGATGCATGCTGAGACCACAGTGTTCAGGGAAATAAATCAGACACACAAGCGTAAATATCACATGGTTCCTCTTATATGAGAAACCCAAAGTAGCTGGGCGTGCTGGTGCACGCCTGTAATCCCAGCACTCGGGAGGCTGAGGCAGGAGGATTGTTACAAGTTTGAGACCAGGACCCGGGATATAGCTCAGTGGCACAAGCGCCTGCCTGGCAAGCGCAAGGTCCTGAGTTCGATTCCCGGTACAAAAAAAAAAGGTCGAGACTAGCCTGGGCTACAAAGTGAGCTCAAGGCCAGCCTGAACTGCACAGGGAGACCCTGTCTCAAAAAAAGACCAAAAGGAGATACCGAAAGTATAGATAAAGAGCAAAATAATAGATATCAGGAAGTAGAGAGCTAGACCTTTCCCACAGAGGAAAGGGATCAAGACCTGGAAGGAAGGTGAAAGGAGGGGAGGAGAGGGGCGGAAAAGGAATCAAAACAACGCACGCTGCACGCCTGGATTCCATGCAAGGAATAGGAGCACTGTGTATACAAACACGTACCAATAAAGACATTTTTAAAACACGGGCTCATCAAATGTAACACACACACTGCAGGAATGCAAGGTGTTTATACGGGAGGGGCATAAAATATATATATATACACACAGGAGGGGGAGGCAGTGTGCTAAATATTTCTATACATCTAAAACAGCCTTTGAAAATAAAGTCTCTTGATGGTTTTCCATTCTCTGGAAGCAGGGTTGCTGAGAGCATGACAAAGCGAGTATTTGATCGGTTGGGGAGTTGTTGCCATTGTTTTGGGGATTGTTTTTGAGACAAGATCTCACTACATAGCCCAGGCTGGCCTTACTCACAGCACTCTTCCTGCCTCAGCCTCCCAGGTGCTGAGATTACACATGTATGCCGCCACACCCAGTTAGGAAACACGTTTTAAAAGCAGCAGCAGATGGAGCACAGTGACGCCTCCCACATGGCCTGCCCCGATGTCCCCAGCAAAGGAGAGACGGGTCCCACTGCTGGGGCCATCTGCAGCTGAGGTCACCACAGCCTCTTTGTCCTCAAGGGCCAAGCTGGCCCCGTGTGACATTCTCTCTCTGCGTGTGGACACGGCATCTTCTCCTCCCAAACTGCCCAAGTGGAAACATCCATTAGACAGTGAGTCAAACAGGGCGCGAAAATGCACGCCTACAATCCCAGCACGCAGGAGGCTGAGGCAGGAGGACCGCTGTAAGTTCAAGGTCAGCCTGGACCACATAGCGAGCCGGCGTCCAGGTAGGGGAGGCTGGGGCCCTGGCTCAGCAGCGGCCTGGACCTCCGCACCTTTGTGCACCCTAACTCCAGCCTGTCCCATGAATCCCTCTGGGCCTCCGGTCCTTTCTCACCCAAGCGGCCACCAAACCCAACAGTGACCATCTGCGGAAGGACCTTATCGAGAGCAGGATCAGGAATGAACCGTGCTTGGCATGTGCGGCCCAGCGACAAGCACACGGCGGCACAGCCACCCACTGGGGCGGGCACCACCGGAAAGCGGGGCGTTTACCTGGGAGCGGCGGGACTGCTGTTCTTCCCTACATTTAGCTCTGACTTACAAATGCCAACGAGTCTTTTAGTTCACTGTCTGGGCACACGCATAAGTGAATGAAAAGTAACGAGTATTTGTCCAAACAGCTGTGAACATGCAGGCAGGTGTGACAGTGCACACTTGTAATCCTAGCACGGCAGGAGGCAGAGGCAGGAGCATCAGAGGTTTGAACCCAGCCTGGGAAACTTAGCGACTTAGGGAGTCACCATCTTTAAACTTGAAAGAGTAAGTAACTGTACAAGAGCTGGGGATGTAGCTCAGTCCGAAGGCCCAGGGTTCGGTCCCCCATACCACACGGACACACACAAAAGAACTAGGGATTCAGCAGAGAGCAGGACCGGTTCCGCACCAGGACGGGTTCCTTCGCTGTGTCTGAGCCCGGGCTTCGGGACAGAAGCTCCCCGGGCAGGGGCTGTGTTCCCACCTCCCTTTTCCCACCTTCAAAGGAGGAGGGCCGGCGGCCACCGCGGGGACGGGGACAGGGCCTGCAGGTGCGTGCGGGATGCGCGTGGTTCTGATCTCCGCGGAGTGGGGCCGGCCCGGGGGAGCGCAGAGTCTGGGTGGCGAGGCCTCTTGTCCCCAGGCCTCGTCCCCCTGCTGCACAGGTGGGTGCCACCTCCAGCCTGGCACTCTGGGTCTGCAGGACACCTGCCGCCTGCTGGCACCCAGGGACGGCACCACCCCCCAGAAGACGAGGGCCGGGACGACACACGGCAGCCGTCCAGGGCACACGCCAAGCAGCCCCACAGCAGCCCCTGCCCTGGTGACACCGCCAGCATGAGGAGCGGAGGCTCGGCACGGCCACGTGCAGCCCGCTCTGCCCCAGCGCTCCACTCCCCTCCCCTGCTGCGCGAGGCAGAGTGACGAAGGGCACAACGGCACAGCTCCTCTGCTGGCAGCCCTGCATGCCGCTGGGAGGGAGTGCAGGGCTTCGGAGGCCTGCGACAGCCGCTTTATGGCCTTCTCCCTGCTCTGAGGCCTCACCTCCGCGGTTACCAAGGGCGACCGCAAACAAACAGGCCGAGCCCAGCCAGCACCTGGCTGCGTGGGCACAGGGGCCCAGGTCCACAGGACCCAGGCGGGAGGGGCGCGCTGCACCCAGCCCTGCCCCGCCCAGGCGTGGGCGCAAGGGTGTTGGAAGTGCAGGAGTCTGTGTGACACAGCAAAGGGTGTGCATTTGCAGGTGCTGTGTGTGCGTGTGCGTGCGTATGCGGGTGGCCGCACCTTGGGAGACAAGCGTGTCTGCAATTGTGTCCGTGTGTGAGCAGCTGTGCGTGCCCACGCAACTGTGCGTCT